ATGTGAAGTACATCAAGTGTATGATAAAGTGTGATATCGTTCACCGTTCGACCTAACTCATTCAACCAATTTTTCACAACAAATGGTTCAATAGTCCATTTGTTTTTGCAATCCTTAGGATCAATGGTTAAAACCAAAGTATCGAAACTTGCAAGATTGGCATAATTTCGGGAGAATTTCATGATTGGCACAATGTTTAAGCCGGTTACGACCCAAATCAGAAAATTTGGCATTGAAAATTATATTACTATCCATGAATATTGATTGACTTTATTACCTATGTACAGTATAATCACATATTCTAAGGCATATGAATTATAATACTAACCTTTGTTTAATTTCCCCATTCCATGTTATAAGTAATCCCAAAGGTTGGTATAAAGATGTATTATTGACCTTATTATAATATATTACTAAGAAATAATTTTGACATAGTGCATAAAACTCTATTCCAAGATTCAGATATTCATAATTAAATAACGAGAAAGTGTAGTTGACTTCAATATTATTGACTGTTCCATTCGTATAAATAAGCCGTAAATGCAATCCTTGTTCGATAATTAGTGCACTTTCGTTAACCCATTTAGCTACTTGCAGCAAGAGAGTTCCATCTAAATAAGTGACACCCTGTATCACTTGATAACCCGTCTCTGATTCTGTATATGTGAAAATATTATCCATATGAACAGAGGAAGGGGTAATAATGCTTATTATTAAAATAACTGTTAATAAAGTCTGCATAATGTTTACGTAGAGTGTGTGTCTTGAAATTATTCGAGACATAAATATCTATTAAGATTTTTCAATTGAATTTGTTTTTGTGACACTGACCTTCTAATTGAAGACTAATTAGATCTTGCGTACATGATATTGAAAATGACTATACATAACTGGTAACTCCATTAGAAAATTACACAAACGAAGATATATGATATTACCTAAGGTAATTGTTGATTATATATTTAGTATTACACGTGACCCCCGTTAATATCAACTTCGTTAATATCAACCTAAGCCAAAAACCAAATTTTATGAATTTTTATATATCAAAATTCCCTCTTATATATCAACTTTAATATAAACCCTCGTTAATATCACTATCAA